CAGAAACCTGACCTACAGGGTGGCATCCCTGCTTATGGCAGGGAATTGGAACTAGACGATCTTTGAGGTCCCTTCCAACCCAAATCATTCTATGATTCTAGGCAAATAAAGAATTATTATTTTTACTTAAGCTATGTTCCTCCCCTTTCCCCCTCTACTTGTCTACTAGGAAAAATCATCTGGTCATTCCAATCAGCTACAGGAAGTTCAAGACCAAGGATGATAAATTATGTGCACCATCTCTAAATTACTCTGTCATCTGTTTTCCTGTAAGTACTGGGCAATTTCAGTGAAGCCTGAAGTAGGGAACTCGAGTCACACTTCCTTGTCACATGTGCACTGTACTTTGCTTGCTTCTCTGAAATACAAACGCTGTCATTTTTCCTGTAGCATCCATATTTCTTTTCACCACATCCCTCTACCTCCTTCTCTCTCTCATTCTCTCTCTCTCACAACACTTGGCAAGTTTCTTCCTGACAAAATGTCCATCTGTAAAAAATAAATGGAACAATAACACCTTGTAGGCATGATGTAAGTGTTGCTTGGGTTTTATTTTTGTATGAATACTTATATATTTAATTAAACACAGTCCTGGCAGCTTTGTAATTGCTTAAGAGTGTTCTAACAAAAGCCTAACTGCTGAAGTGGGTAGAATTGCATATTCCTTCATTTTTCTTGCTCTCCTTTAGCACATTCTGTGCAGTGCAGCAGTGAGTGTATGATTTACTATTGTCCTGGAAGAGTCTCTGCAAAACCTTACCTTTGATTCCCTTCTCCACCTCGGACTGTTCATGCACACAGGTACACATTTTGTATCTGCAGTGGTCCCAAGGGAAGACCTGATTCATTCCTTAAAACTACCTGCAGTCAGTGAAGTTTCACCATCACAGATGAGTTTGGCCCCTTCAAGCAAAGCTCTGTAGTGGTTACAAGATATATATGAAATAACCCAAAAGGTATTCCCTTCCAGATTATGAAGCAGCAGATCAGGTAGACAGATGGAGCAGCAGGCAGACAGGAACAGATAGGATTTTATCTCAGAAAAAGAAATGGCAAATAATTCCATGGCTGAGCTAGGAGCAGTGCAGCTCTGGAACAAATATTTGAAAGGAATTTCAGGGACTGGGAGGCAAGTTGCAACTAATAAAACAGATGTTACCAAGTGAAAGGCAAAGAGTTCTTAGGCATGCTTATGTCAGGTTCTGCTCCTTGACCCCCTCTGATGTTATAGGACACACCTGGCCAACAGACACAAGCAGCGTGTGACTACTGAAGATGTTGGGGTGCATTTTTATAAAACAGGAGGGAACAAAATAAAAACTGCCCAGAAGTTTACTTTTGAACAACCTTCATCCTAGAACATAAGTAACTCCCGGCCAGCAGCTGGTCAAACTGAGGAACTGCAGGGTAAAACTCACATTCAGAGATTTCACAGGAGGTCTTATTACCAAAGCCAAACCCACTGGTACAAAGCCATTATGCAAGAGCAAATCTCAGTGACGAGATCAATGCTACAGCCATTCCTGAGACTTTGTTTTTGTGAAAAATGTTCCTGCTCACAGGGGCTGCCATGAGACTAATGAATAGACTTTGTCCTTTGGGAGAACTTGTCCTGTGCTCAAGGAGCTTTAGGTCAGGCCCAAAGCTGTTGGTTTTCTGTGATGAGGCTTGTCATGGACAAGCAAAGAAATATGAAGCAACACACAGAGACTCACCTTTCCTACAGAAAAGTTAGGCCTAGGTAACAAAGTCTTTCCCTACTAACTCTCTGTATCATTTAAAACTGCGTAACATTTTTAGATGCACCTTTCCAACCTTAATGTTATTTACTGTTGTATAAAGATATTACAGGATTGTTTTGGTTTGCCTTTTTTTTTTTTTTTAGTTGGATAATCAGAGATACCAAACAAATATTTGGAGGTTTTAGAGCTCAATGGCACAGAATACTTCAGAGATAAATCGTTTGAGATACTTTTACAAAAGACCTAGTGGTATTTTTTTTTTTTCAGAGAATAAGAATCAGCCTAACCTTTCCATGTACATTAAGCAACAGTATTGATCTGCAAACCTCCAGGGACAGCTTATAGGCAGGAGAGGTCAGGAAGAAATGCTCCCAGTTGCACAGCAGGGTGTTCATCGGGAGGAACCTGAGAGAGATATTTGTTATTCACAATTTCCTGGAAAATCTCACTGACCTCTCCGGCGCTACTCTCTGCTCTAAAAAAATTTGGGGGAATGAAGCCAAACCAAAGCACCAGATTAAACTATTGTGCCTGGGATGGAATGGGAGAGGTTACCCAGCACAAAGTGAACAACAGGTTTGAGTTAATGCTATGAAGTCAGTTAATGCTGAAAGTCCAAAATCTGCAGGCAAGGTACATTCTCAAATTTCCAGGTAGCCACCGCAACATCATTCCCATAGCTGGAAATTCCTCCCCTCATTACTTTGTGAAATAGATTGTTGGTTCTGGAAACTAGAAGTGGAAAAAGAGAGTTGCTGTAATTGAGCTGTCGTTTCTCTAGACCTGCTCCCTATCTCTCCCAGTCTTTCCTCCAGAAAATGTAAAAATTGCAAAAAGTCAAAAAGTAACACACAGGCATTTATGCCTATGCAGGCATGTGTTTGCATGCATGTGAAAGAGACAGATGAGGAGAGGATTCCTGACCCAGAAGTGTGATTAAATCCAAAGCAGGTTGATAAAGAATCCACTGTAGTAGGATGTATTAAAAAAGAGAGTTATTGTATCTTCTGAACTGATCAAGGTGATAAAGTAACTGATCACACAGAAGAACTGCTGGAACTGCACCCAATTCTACTCTATGAGTAAACAGAGTCCTGTGGTTCATTCAAGAGGCTATAAATTTAAGCTTAGTATTTCAGGTCTATATCTAAAGAGTGACAGAACCTCATATCTCCTGATTCATCCAGAAAGAATGCATCATCTTTTTGTACCAATCTAATCAGGAACACTTTTGCCATGTCCATTTTTCTTTTTAAGTCAAAAGAGGCACAGAAGAGATTTAGTTTCATTTTTTTTTTTTTTTTTTTTTTTTTTTTTTTTTTCTTTTTTACATGTATTTTTTTTTCAATTTTTTTTTTCCCTTCCTACTGGATATGGAGAAAATAAAACCAGCCTCGACTTTGCTAAGCCTCTGACACAGGTACCCTCACTACACATCTCACAGCAGAGCAGCTCATTTCAACCCTGTTCTTTAAGTACCATCTAGTGGTTACAAATATATTTGCATTTCTGTTGTTGGAGGATCTTCAGATTCAGATTCCTGTATCGTTTAGAGCTGAACTAGCATTTTCTGAAATGCAATAAAAAGCAACACTCTTCCACTTATTATTCCTCCCCTTTTTTAAAAGAACATAAAATCTTCATGTCTTTTTACCCACCTTGTCTCAGTCCCACTGCGAGCAACTTCAGAGAAAAAAGGGCACAAGAAAAATGTAGCTGTGCCTTTTTTTCTTTTACATACAGAAGATAAATGTCAAACCATGATCCTGCATTACCTTATATAGGTAATTTTTTTCCATTGAGGCCCCGACCCATATGTCTCTGAATATGCATTTGAGAATTGGCCTTCAATTTGAGCCATTTATTACTTTTGAAAGTATTGCTCCATCTATCTGCCTGTCTTAAATTAATATCTCTCTTTGTGTGTTCCCCTTTCCATATTGCCTGCCATCTGTTAAGTGATCACTGAGAGATAAGCCTGGTTTGCTTGTTCGATCAGTTATTCTGCTTTCTATTTCAGTGGACATTGGTTAAATGTACCCATGGTGTTGCTCCCCCGATATCAGCAAAGTTACACCATGAACAGGGAGAGGTGACCTCCTCTTCTCCACCAAATCTATGTGATTCTCTTCCAGTACAAGGCTCTGAATGTCAGTCCCCTTCAAAGAATTGTTTTGGAGAAATTAGGTTTTGTCTCATTCTAAAATAGGTGTTTATGACAGTTTACATGAAAATGTTGGCTAAGGCACCTGGCTTCCCCCCTGATTACAAAGGTTGCTCATCGATGCAGGTCAGATGGGGCCCCTGGACCATGACTCAGTTCCTTGCCGTCAATGTCCAGCATTGGTCACGCTCCTTACGGAAGAGCCCTCAGGAGACCTCTCCTCTGCCTGATCAGGGCTGGAGGGAACAACAGCAGCTCAAAGGGCCCAAAACCAGGTATGATTAGTTGAGTCCTGGCGTGCTCAGGCTTTATGTGCAGGGCAGAGCCGTCAGGGCAGCACGTGGAGCGAGGGGATGATGCTGTTCACCCAACTGCAGGCTCCAGGACTGCCCCAGTAACTCCCCAGGAGCCTCCAGCAGCCCTCACTGGCTCCTTACCGGCTACAAGGACAGCCTGAACACCAGCCTGGGCATAAACATCCCTAGGTGTCTAAATTCAAGTGTTTTACTTACACACAATATCCCACTCAATACTTCAGTCAGCTAAAATTTGGCAAGACAAATTCCACCACAGAAGGTTACTAATTTCACCTTGTAAGTCTAACTGGCAAGTGATGTGAGAAAAATAAAGACAATAAAACATTTATCATTCTCACACTGCCTCAGCACGGGTTATTACCCTCTCTGAGTTTGTCCCCACAAACATTCAATTTGGTGTTTGTCACAAGTGATGGAGCAGGATCCCATAAAGAAGGTCCTGCTGCTGATGGAAAATGTTTCTGTTCCTGGTTCTCAGTCTCAGCTGCTTATTTCCTCTCCTCCACACAGGAGATTTCCAGCCAGATCTGTGTGTAGCCATAATCTAACTCTGGAGATATCAGGAATATGTGCACGAGAAGAATTCTTATTGTGACAGTCTAAAAAGTCAATAAAGTTCCTGAGAAAAGCATCATTTAACTACTTTCCATTCGAAAAAATTTAGAGATTCCCCCCTTTTCCTGTAAGAATACTACTCATGCTGCTTGTATCATATATCATAAATTGCTGCCTAATGTTGAGCTGTGAATTTTCATCCTAGAAATTCCACTGGAGACATTTTGACATGAGCACAAGATTTATTGCTGGGCAGCCAGTGGATCTGATGTCTGCGATGACAGATATTCTTTTTTCAAATGAGTATAATGACACTGAAAAGAACAGGATCAAACAATGTCCCTGAAGTCTTTTTCTGTGAGTTGCAGATGTACCCACAAGCAGATTTCTGAGGAATCCCCATCAGCAGAAGCAGCAGCACCATATATGTTCACTAAGCAAGAAAAACGTACATGTTTGTTTTATCAGGCAAATGTATTTTCCCTGTAGGGTTGGGGGCAGGAAGGTGGGATGTGGAGACCTTAAGCTAAACTAGCGACGAGATCCTGCTCTTACACAGGAAGATATGGCACATCCGTGGGCTACAGCACATTTCTGTTACGTTACCCAGAGTGAATAGTTTATTACGTATCATTACCTCTGAACAACAGATAATCAATTTGGATGTGTCCTTATTTACCTGGACAAACACTGGAAGGCTTTGCAATTTAATGGCCTAACTGTTTGTTAGAACAAATAGACCTATTCAATTCCGAGATCACAGTCAATCTGACGGTTTATAGCTGGTTGGTTTCTGCTTTCAAACTGTGAAACTCTGATTTGTTTTCAAGGTGTAAAATTAGCAGTAACATTTTCACATGCTAACAGATAAGTCCCTTATTGAAACATATGACTGCACTTGCTCATTGCAGAGTGAAAATAGCTTTGCTCAAAACCCCAGCACAAAGCCTGCGGCCTGCCTGAGTTTCACAAAAGCCCTGAAGTGATACCAGGTGTGAACCGGCCCAGGCGCTGGCTGTCTGCTCAAGAGTAAATTTCAGCTACTAATTTACAGGTTGGAGCAGGATGTTTTCCACTCGTTATTAAATTATATTATTTGTATACAGCTCTGCAGAGTAGCAATGGAGTGCTTGAACAGAGCATGGGTATTTAAAACAGTAATTCTTCATTTCATCTCTGAAATGATTAGCCTTGGTAAATCATACCAAATCCTGAAAAGGGTTGTTAAATCATCTCCCCTTGGTTTAGTAATATATTCCACAGAGTAATCACACTAGTGTAAATAATCACAAGATTAAAAAATGAAGGAATACCTGAACTCAAACCTCTGGCTGCAGATCCTTGAAACCAAGGGAGTGGGAACAGCATACAAGGAAGGGAAAAGCAGCAAGAGAAGAAAATATATTGGTTATTTTTTCTGTTTAGTTGGGTAAGCCAAATTAAATCCTCAGATTCAGACAGCCAAGGCAAATTTTGAAAATATCAAATCAAACTACAGTGAGAGAGTTGAAGATGGAAAAAAGTCTGGCAAATGGAACATTCTGTAAATCTGGCCAGTATGGCACGAGTTGCTGTTTCCAGTCCAAACATCACCTTATCCAGCAATATCCCAGCATGAATCTGCTTGAGAGACTTACTGGAGTTTGGAATTATAAAAATTACACCTATTAGGATGTACTGAGAAATACATGCGGAGTATACGTGACAAAGGAGATACTCCAGAACACAGTGATCAAAGAGGATGCTTCAAAGTGGCATGTGAATGTTTCCAGCCCTCTCTGTCCAGAGGACACCTCCACCCAGATGTGCAATTTATCTGCACCTATCTGCATTTCTCACTGTTTTTCTTTAACTTGAGTATCATTTGTTCCTACAAGGAGAGGTAATTATACAGTAATAATATTATTTTCCTGCCTTGACATTGCCCCTTTTGCTTTAAAAGTCCAGTCTCTTTCAATCTCTCCACATAAAATAGGTTCTATATTCCCTTGAAAATTTTAGTAGTCCTTCTCTGTAGACACTCCATTTTGGATTTCTCTTTTTGTGGCCATTAGTGCCTGCAAGGTCCTGACAGAAAATTCCTGTACTTGCCTTTCATTTAGTTGCATCACTTTAATGATTTGCAGACATCACACAACTTCTATAAAACCCAGGTTTCTCCCCCTTCCTCAGTGATTGCTGATGATCTATTTACATCAGAAATGGTTAAGTTAAAATTCCTCCAAAGCTTATGAATGATATCAGAGAATTGGTTGAAAAGGGATCTTATCAGCAACCTGAAGGAAAGATCCACATCCGGCACAATATTTTTATAAAGTCCATTTACATTGTGGCTATTTCACCCTTGACCATGCTGAGATGGACTACTTTTTAATTCATAAATATTCCCACTTAGCTCATAGAAATTAAATATAACAATTTTCTGAAATGCGTGTTACTTAATCACCAACCTACAGAGAGCAAATGCCTTTCAGTTCCCAGTGATACCTCTAATACCTCTGCTTAAAGACTTGATTACCTAACAACAAAGCTAACACATACTGTCACTTAGATTTTCACATCACAAAGCTTCTAAAGCCCTAGATTTTTTTGTTTGTTTGTTTGTTTTCAGCTCTTGACATAAGTGCATTTTCGGTTCAAAGTTTTCATCAAATGAAAAAAAAAAATCCACAGTGTATCCTTCTCCTTCTTATTACCATTAACATTAATATTATCATTGTCATTACCTGACACAGAAGTAAGTTCTTTTGCTTCTTACTAACGCTTCTTGCCTTGGGATATCTGTGAATGACATAGGAGGCTTTTACTGGAGGTCCTGAATAAACTTCCAGAAACATTTTTGGACCGTGATGCTGTGAGGATTTATTCAGTTATTGCCAGGGATCAATCTTTAAATTAACTGTGCCTTTATAGTACTAAAATTCTGCTTTTTCATTAATGACATAGCTTAATTGCTTCACAATCAGGGGAAAAAAATAGAAATAAGAATAAAGAAAAAAAGAAAAGCAGCAAATACCTGCCTGACTTAACCACATTAAGCAGCATGGTGCAGAATATAACTTAACAGTCCAGTGAACTGTCAGTGGCAGAAGTAATTGGAAATTGGTGGGATAGTTCTCCATGTGATGGGGATAGGAGTTTTTCATGCCTGTTTTTAATGGGCAAATAGCTCTCAGGGCAGCTTCATATTCTGTCATTAATTTGTAAAGATCCTTTATAACGTAGAAAAGTTAAGATAGCAAAAAAAAAAAAAAAAAATCCAATTACATGTTTAATGACTTGGCATTTGTGGTAATGCTATCTAGCACTAATTCACCTGTTAGAAAACAGTCTATCTTTTAGCCCCTGGGGTTAATAGAGTGCAAAAGCCTAGTCTTATCAGAGGGTGGGAGAAAAGTGAGTAATTTTTTCCTACCAATAAGAAAGAAAAGCAAGAATGACAAAATCGATTACGAATTTTCAACTTGCTTTTTTAAAGCACAGCACTACTATTTATTAAACGCTTTTTAAAAGGAAATAATGTATTTATAAATGCTGGTGCCTAACTGGTCCTTGGGATTTTGCAGAGGCATGTGGGACTCCTTTCCCTTTGTGCCCAACATGAGCACCCACCGGAGTGAGGTGTATACTCAAATCTTGTCTCGGTGCTGCAGTGCAGAGCCTGCCCTCGAGAACAAGGCCTGCTTCACTTCTACATGGAAATGGGATCCGTAATCAAAAATACGGTTTGATCAGTCAATAGGTGGATGGATGGATTTATCTTGGCCTCAGCTGTGTGTTCATAACCACACTGAAATCAACAGCGGATGCTTAAATGGAACTAAGAGAATTTGTTCCACAACAGCATAGAAATACAGCTTATGCAAACATACATATTCATTTACATGTCTCCCTTTATCAGCCACTGCTTTATTTGCATCTCACGCTGCATAAAAGGTTAGCAAAGGCCTTTGTAATGAACACTTCCATTTTAAAACATTTAAATAGTCTGCAGTATAAATCGCATATTCTAACTGACTGCTCTGGTGTGAATTTCTAAGTCCACTAAAAGGAAAAGAGGCAGCATTTACCGTGTTTATGCAACAACTTCTTTGCTTAATACCAGATTTGTCTGTGTCGTGGCTAAACTAGGATTAGCAGCAGAAATACTAAATGATGTTAGAATTCAAACAATTTTGTGTAGTCCATGTAGAACATGGAAATACTGGTAATGTAAAAAAACCCCGAAAACAAAAAATAAAAACCCCAAACAAAACAAACAACTGCCATCGGTCCAGTCTCTAAAACCAGGAGTTTAACATTAAAGATAAGTTCTGTCTAATGGATGGAACACAAGCCCTGAAATCAAGGCTTATCACCCCTGTTCCTGGTTTGTGGTTCATCTGTCAGGAGCGAGCTAATCAAGGCTGAATACTGAGCATCCAGATTACTGAAATCCAGTGATTTCATCTGGAATTACGTAACCTCTGTGTTTTCTGAATAAGAATGTCTATAACTTGTACCTGAACCCTTTCGGGTCAATAATGGGTTTTGTCCTTAATCTCAGTTGGAGCAGGAAACATTGAACTTTATATTACCTGTACTCCATCATCTCTCATCTGTGGCACAGAAGATACAAAATTCAACACATCTTGAAAAATTTGGATGTGTCTGATGCTTAGAGAATTAACACTTCCAGTGTGCCATTCAGGGATCTGGAGGTTACAGAGAAAATGCATTTATTTCAGCTAAGGGAGGGGATTCACCCTATTTAAAATTAGCTTAAAGAAACAGGGCTTAATACAAGTAGGTCATGTAAGTCAATTTTTTGAGAAAAACAGGACTGCAAGTGGTGGTACGCCCTGACCTCACACAGTTATTGAAGGTAGGTGTGATTATATTGCTCTTGAATGTTACTGTTGCCTTACCTTGACTCTAATGCAAGGGGAAGCCAGCCCAGACAAGGTAAAATTATGTATCCCAACATAACAATTTAAAGAAATTAACAATCTTTTTTTTATGGTCTGAATCCTTATTTGGATTTGGAAGCTATGAAAATAGAGTCTTCTGTAACTGGCTGGATGGAGTGATGGATGGACTGTAACTGCATGGATGGATGGATGGACTAAATTTTGTCTTTCCTGTATGGTCAAAACTTATGTTCGTGCTTTTTATGTTTGCTATTTTCTTTAAGGTGTTATTATTGTTGCTTCTTATTTAGAACAACCTAAAAGAGATGTTCAGCTACTTTGCAGAAGCATGGGGTGCAGAGTCAAACTTGTTTTCCCTAAGTTAGTTGAAAGTGATGTGCCCTCATTCCCATGGCAAGGAACATTTCCTTTAGTGCAGCTGACAAGTTTTTCAAGGTGTTTCTGCACATCCTGTAGGGAAAGCAAATTGTCATCAAAATTGAAAATTCAGAATATGTTTTTTTTTTCCCTGAAGGTCCTTAGGGCTCTTGAAATGCTAAGCAGAAAACTGAGCTCAATGCATATGGAGGAGATTTTCATATTTTAAAAGTCAGACAGAGTGTCAGCCAGCAGACGCAGCAACTCCAAGAATCTTCAAAAAGGCAGAAGCAGGAAAGTTTACTGCTTGTTCCGCGGACACATTATTTTAGCCTGTGTTCTGCAGATTGAGAGGCAGATTGCCTAAGGTCAGAGGGTGACCCTGCCCTGCAGCTTGAGTATTACTCCTTCTTTTTCTTTTTTTTTTTTTTTTAAGTGCAAATTTACATTTGGCTGCAACCTGCCTCCTTAATGATGGATCGGCCTTTTGTGCAGGTATGAGCTCTGATTGATGGGGCACAGGGATAGGAGAGGAGAATGGAGCAAACAAGTTTATAAATTTGACATAAGATTTGAATCGCAGCAGGAACTCTGCCAGTCTCCTTAGGCATAAAATTGGACTGGCTGGAGATAGATACTGCATGTGTGATGTTTCAGCACTTATTGCTTTCATAATATCTTTACTTACTCAGTTAACAGACTACTGAACTTGCAAAATCTGGCAGACCAGGGGTTTTTTCTTTAAAACAAATTTTACAATGGGGGGAGGGAAAGAAAGAACTGAAAAAAATAAAATTACATACCAGGTCTTCATCTGGGGTAATCTAACACAATTTACTTGATTTCACTGGAGTTACACTGACTTTCCCTAAGTGATGACCTGCCTCAGTATTCTTATTTTAGTTTAGCTTTTTTTTTTTCCCCCTTCTGAACAGGCTGTGTTGACATTTCATGTTTCCTATTATTATTATTATTATTCCTTCTCCTTTTTTGTTTTGGGAATTATATGGCTTATTGACTAAACAGCATTAGAAAACTAAAGTTAATGGGCCAAACTCTTCCCTAGTGTAACTTTATTGAGTTCAAGTTGTATAGAGTTGAATGAGTTCAGGGACTCCTCCAAAGGGGGTTATTGCAGAGGCTGATTCTACAACAAAAGGGAAGTCCACAGCTTTGTTGTCATTTCAACGCAAATTAAACATTGCAAGAAGTCCAGCGCTTCGTATTTAGCTGATGGGATGAAATCTGAGTGTACTGAGCACAAAACCATAAAATCATACCTTGTTTTAATGGATTAGAACAAATACTTCAATATTATTAAGAATTCCTTTAATAATACACCTGTTCATGTCTAATTGTTCCATGGAGAACTCTGAGTTGTATGGCCAACCAGAATGACCATCTTATCCATCATTATGCCTGGAGAGATTTTAAAGACATGTAGATGTGGTACTTGGGGACATGGGTTAGTGGAGGGCTTGGCAGTGCTGGGGGAAGGGTTGGACTTGAGAATCTTAAAAAGGTCTTTTCCAACCTAAAAGATTTTGTGATTTTTAAATTCTATCAGTGGCAACTGAGGGAGGGGCTGACTGACTGGCATGACAAATGCCCCAGGAGCAAGGTGAGACTCTTGTGGTTGTGTCAAAATAAAGAAGGTGGTTTCTAATCAGCACATTACAAGGACAACTTTGTTCCAAGGCTAGAACTGTGAGAACAATCAGTTTTTAGATCCAAATGATACTACAAGGTTTGAATTTAACTCCAAAATAACTGTTTTTTGTGGACACAATATCATTCAGTATCTACAGTATAAGAATCAGTGACCTTTTAATGCCCTTGTAAATAAATATAAAACATATATTTGAGGAACGGAAAGGTGTGTTCTTTTCTAAAACTCCATTCTTATCCCTTTTTAAAGGAAATACAACAACCACGAGCTAAACACCTCTCCACTGTGGTTCTGAAAATCTGGCCATTGCAGTGGTATCCAAATAGCAGAAACTCTCTCTGCTGTACATCCAGCATGTAAAGTCTTTCTCAGGATATTACTAGAGGGAAAAAAGCAGTTGCCAAGTCAGTTTTGTTCCAGTTCATTAGTGACCGAAAGTCATTATCGTCTGACAGATGTACTAAGGGTTATGTATAGTTCCTAGTTGTCTCAGTCCAGTTTTTAGTGGACAGATGTCCACACTCAGAAAAGACAAAACAAGTCTGACAACAGAGCAACTCGGCTGAAAATCTTCACCAAGAACGTGGGCCCTGGCTGAACATCTGAACTGATCAGTCCTCTTGAGTATCGTGGTAGTCCCAGGGGCAGAAAATAGATGGTGTACAAGGAATCAATGTCATTCTCTGGAAGATGGTATATAGTTCTTGGTAGGATTGAGAGGTTACATATTTCTCTGTGGTTATCAATCGAATATGAAGTGCAAGTGATAGTTCTGCTTCAAAACAAGAAAAATAGCTCCATTCCCTCCAAAGAGAATTGTGTCAGTAGCAGACCTCTCTATTGCTCCCACTGTTTTCTCGATGCTTCACCTCACCAGACTTCTGGGACCTGACAAACTATCAGACTGAAAACCAGAAAGGGATGGGGGAGATTTTAACGCATGAGCAAAGCAATGAAAAATGTCAATCTCCTGCTTGATATATGTTTTCCAATTACAAGAATGGCATGATATTAGCAAATAACTAAATCTAGGTGTTGCTAACCAGTTACTAATAGTCTTCATGAAAAAAAAAAAATAGATTCCTCTTTGTATACTTTGCTCTTAAAGACAATGTAAATGCTCACATGTGTTGAGTTAAATTTGTGTTTCAAGATCAGACACTCAGGTAAATGTTAGGTCATTACAGAACATGTGGCTGGGCTGTGCTGTGGCAGAAAGCCAGAGCCTGTCCCACCGCCAGAAGCAGGGAAGACTTGTGGGGCAGCCAGGTCAGGTCCAGACCTGGGCATCAGGGATCTCCGTGGGGATGGGTCATTAGTGCAGGAGCGGGATTTGGCTCAGTGGAGTCCATACCTGAACCAGGTAGGGCTGAGGTGGAGCACGAGACTGATTTCTATGGCCCTGCTGGGACACAGAACTCCTTGAAATGGGGTCCTGGGCCATAAGCAGGTGACCAAGGCCTATTAGTCCCTCACATTGCTTTCAATTTCACCCAAAGTACAGAAGGGACAGATGCCCCTTCTCCTGCTGGCATGACAAAGGTCAGAATTTGCTTCACAACGCACTTGGAGCATCAGCACTCTTGACACTCTGGTTCACTTCCAGAATTTGTTCTTGCTATCACATGTATGCAGTTGTCTCTACAGTGTTCATGCTAGTTCACTCCCAGACTTCCTTTTGGAATATAATAATTAGTCTCCTTAAAGAAGAAACCCAAGTAGAGTTTCCAGGAGAGTTTGCTTATGGAAGTGCTACAGATCAGCAAAAGGAGAACAGATGCGCCTTGTTTGACAACCAACAGTCAGAATAATTCTGCCCTACTTCGGTGGGCCAGAAACAGAAACGCTCAAACACCAGAAAGTGCCCTCGTGCCAAGCCCTGGATGTGATGCTATAAAGAACTTCCTGTAGGCAGCCAAACAACCCTTATATCATAAAATCATAGAATCACAGAATGGTTTGGGTTGGTAGGGATGTTAAAGGTCACCTTGTTCTAACACCCTGCCATGCACAGGACCTTCCACTAAAACAGGTTGCTCCAAACCACATCCAGATTGGCCTTGAATGCTTCCAAGGATGGGGCATCCACAACTTCTCTGGACAACTTGTGCTAGGACCTCACACAACGTCTGACACTACATCAGCCACTTTGAGCTGGAAAACACACATATGTGTGTTTTGGGCAAGCAATCATGTCTTTTGGGCACAGGAGTGGTCACTGAAGCTTAGAGAAGAGACAGACCAAATATTATTGCAGTTGGGATGTGGATGGACCAGTCTGCAGGGGCCAAGTCAAGAAAGGGCAGGTGTGACTCATGCAAACTATTTGACTCAAGGGCAACAGCCCCCGGTGGCTGTTTTCATCAGTACAGATGATGCCATAAATGCTGAGTGCCCTGAAGGACAGACAGAAGTAGCAGTAGCTCTGTACCAAAGGGCCCCATTCAGCTTTCCTCCGGTGTAGGTGTGTGGCACTTACAGACACTGCTCCTGCTCAGACACCCGTCAACTCCGGCAGGTTCTGTGTCAGCAGCGTAGGCGACGACTCCCAGACATGTACAGTATGTTCATCACTGCCTTTTCCAAGTGCCTCAGTATCCTTCAAGTGAAAAACACTCTTTCTATCTCCGTCTATGGCAGTATCTGAGAACCTATAACTGTAAGGTTATTTATATGAGACAGTGGTATAAAGTGACATTTCTTATTGAAATAGCACCTTTCCTCAATTTTATTGTCAAAAATGTCTTCCTAAACATTTTTCTCTTCTTTTCTTTCACCTAATTTACCTATCTAGTAAGGCACACTGGAATCTGAAAAAGTTAGAAATAAACCACTTCAAAAAACTTTTTTTAATGACGACTTCTGTAATTTTTTTCCTTAGTTTTTTTTTTTCTCTGATAAATAAACAAAAGTTCAACAATGAACTACAAATGTCTGTACTGGAGAGACAGACTGTGAGACTGTTTAACTGATACTACTCATTCGATTATTTGAAAAAGAATCTAATTTTTCCTGAGAAAAAATAATGCCAAAATAGGAACATGCATATTATGGTACTCAACTGTGTACATGCAGAGATAGCTTTAAAGCTGTGAGACTGATTTGTCTTTTAAATTTTTACAGTTTTATGTTTTTCTTTTTCTCCACCTCCAGGAAGAACAATATGCTTATCTATTTTTGTTACGGAAGGCAGAGGTTTTACATAAAAAAATGGGCAGAAACAAAACTAACAAGCAAACGGAAATCAACAAAAAGTATGAGGCAGGTAATAAATGAATGGCAGCTGCCGGGGCTGTTGAAACTGCAAATGTGATCAAAAAGTGACAAATTAAGAAAGAAAAAGTTGGGTAAAAGATCACTTTTCGTGTGTAAAGGAATTTATTAATTTAATTATGTTTCAGTTATGTTTTGGTCTCACGACATGTACCAGTGAGGCAGTGCTAGAAAGCAAAGACTTCATTTTAGTGATATATGGTTCTGGGTCATGGTCTTCTCTAGTGTCCTAATTGTTTTGGAGAAAAAAGGAAGAAAAGACCACCTGGTCATAGAACCTGATGGGAAAAAAGTAGTTTTGAAGTGAAAAAGTCCTTCTTTCCTAAAAAGAAGCATTCCTCCCCTGTCTTGGCCTCTTCCCTCAGAGCTACTGGTTTGCAAGAGAACAGGATTAGCTGACATGTCCTTCCACATCCACCCATTAACTCATTCTTGCTGTGAAAATGGAAGAGAACATGGTGGTTCCAAGTGACAATTATCTTTGTTTTTAGTAAGAGCTATGCTGGGAGAGAGCACCTTTGTCTGGATGCTTCCTCAGGACCAATCCTGCTCTAAGTACAATGAGCTACAGCAAAACAGCACTTTCTATACTTTTGTTTATCAATGCTGAGAATTTCAGCAGCTGTGGTGGAACATAAACCACAAAACTCCTCTTTGTCAGTGTCAGCTGCTTTGCCTATGTTGACAGAATAAGCGTAATCACGGCTGGGCTTCGCGAACGAAGATTTAGGAAGGTTCTACCCACGTCTGTTACAGGCACGCTGGTGGCTTATGAGGCCAATATGAGATAGACATGTCGGATTACAAAAGGCACAGCAGAAAGACTCCTTAGGTGGTGTATTCAGCAGGATACGATTCTTTCTGCGTTGTCTTTTCTCCTCGAAACAGAATAAGCGTAGGATAGTAATAACTACATGTATACAACATCTATATTTTTGTCACTTAAAGATGCCCACAACCTGTATTAATACTCAAAACATTAAAGATTTTTTAAAATCGTATGAGTATTTACAGTATGTAAGTTGGTGGTTTCTGGTTGCCTGTGTCAGATGCAGATGCATTCTGTACTTACATTTTACCATGTTTTCTGTTAAGTGGTGATTGCTGATCACCTAATGCTGCTGACAGATGAGATTTCAGGGAAAAAAACATTAAAAAATGAGAAAAAAATCATCCCAAAGTCAGCATAGTGATAACAAAATAATCACAATAAATTCAGCGATCAACCTGTCCTCTGGTGGTAGAAGGGTACAGCCATTTCTGCTTGGTGTCCTTCAGAGAGAAGAAGAAAAAATTCTTCCTTGTGAGGGGGTTGAGGCCCTGGTACAGGTTGCTCAGAGAAGCTGTGGTTGCCTCATCCCTGGAAGTGCTCAAGGCCAGGTTGGATGGGGCTTGGAGCAACCTGGGATAGTGGAAGGTGTCCTGCCAGTGGCAGGGGGTGAAATGAGATGAGCTTTTAAGGTCCTTCCGACCCAAACCATTCTATGACTGTCTGAAGGACGAGGATGGTGAGAAGAGCCTTGAGGGGAATCCGTAGGAGGAGTGGCTGAGGGCACTTGGTCTGTTCAGCCTGGAGAAGACTGAGGGGAAACCTCATTGGGATCTTCAACATCCTCACGAGGGGAATCAGAGGGGCAGGTACTGATCTCTTCACTTTTATCACCAGTGGCAGGACTCGAGGGGACAGCATGAAGCTGAGATGGGAAAGGTTCGTGTTCAGTATCAGGAAAAGGTTTTTCACTGAGAGGGTGGATGTTTGCAGGAGCAGGCTCCCCAGGGCAGTGGTCACAGCACCAAGCCTGCCAGAGTTCAAGAAGCGTTTGGACAACGCTCTCAGGCACGTGGTGTGATTCTTGGGGTGCCCGGTGCAGGGGAAAGAGTAAGACTGCACGATCCTTGTGGATCCCTTCCAACTCAGCATATTCTTTGATTCTGTGAGGCTGCTAAATTGCTCTAACCCTCCCCGCCCGCAGGCTGCACAGGAGCCCTCCCGCACCCCCCGCCCCCGCTCTCACCTCACCGCCCCTCTGGGGGCTCCCCCCCTGTTGCGCGGGAGGCCGCGGGGGAGGGCGCGCCACGGCCCGGCGGCCATTTTGGTAAAGGGCCGGTGCCGCTCCTTCCTCCATTACTCAAGATGGCGGCGGCGGCGCATGCTCGGAGTGGGGAGCGGTGCTGCCCGCGGGTGCTGAGGAGGAGCGGCGGCCATGGGCGAGACCGAGAGGCTTTATTATGTGTACAGCTGCGACCTGGACATCAACGTGCAGCTCAAGATGTGAGTGAGCGCCGCCGCGGCTCTGCGGGGGAGCGGCCGCTGCCGCCGTGGGGGGAGGCCGGGCCGCCCGCCCCTGGACGGGTGCGCTGACCCCGGAGTCCGGCGGTGCCCGGCTGCGGGCAGTGCTGGCCCGGCCCCGTATCCCTCACGACACCCGGGGCTGCGGGTGCCGCTCTCCGGGGAGGAGACGGGACGGGGCGGGCGAGGGGCCGGGCTGGAGCAGGGCTGCGAACTCAGATACCTGTGTGCTCGGGTCCTCTGAGGCAAAGATTGGTTGTCAGTGCAGTCTGGTAACTTTTCATCTGCCGGTGTCATAGAATCGCAGGATGGTTTGTGTTGGAAGGCACCTTAAAGCTCATCCAGTCCCACACTCCCCACCTCCACAGCCACCTCCCCCCCCCGCTGCCCTGGGCAGGGACACCTTCCACTAGCCCAGATTGCTCCAGATCCCATCCAACCTGGCCTTGGACACTGCCAGGGATGAGGCAGCCACATCTTCTCTGGGCAACCTGTGCCAGGGTCTCACCACCCTCACAGAGAAGAATTTTTTCCTAATATCTCATCTAAACCTACTCTCTCTCTCAGTTTGAAGCCATTTCCCCTTGTCCTGTCACTCCAGGCCTTTGTGCACAGCCTCGCCCTGTCTCTCGTTAAGTTCCTCTCACCTGCTGTAAGGCCACCACAGCTTGATCCTCAGTGATACGGGAAGGACACAAACTGGTGACACCCTTCCTGTTTCTTCCCATTCTCCCGTGAAAGCAAGATGCTCTTAGCCAGGTTTTTTATTGGAAGGTCCAGGTGCTGCAGCACCTAAGTATGTTCCCAGCTGCATATATGGAAGGACTTCCTCTGAAGCCGGAATTATCGTTCACTGGTGTATTTACCATTTTTTAAGTCACTTTACTGCATCACAGCAATGGGATGTTGACAGTTGTGCAGGAGGGATGTAGCTGGCTCTAAAATGTAGCGTGCCTGATGGCAATACATTAAAGTACATTACACTTTTCTGGCAAACTAACTTTGAGAAGGTTATTCAGGGTTATTTAACTTCTGAACAGGTGATAGTAGTGGAAGATGTCCCTGCTCATGGTAGGGGTTTGGAACAAGATGATCTTTAAGTTCCTTTCCAACCGAGGCTATCTGTGATACCTGAGTCAGAGGCATGTGTCCTCTTTGCTGTTTCATTCCACCAAACAAAATTAAATTAGCATTTTTTATTTTTTTTTTTTGCATTGGACTGTATGCCATCCTGGAATGTGCAGTGCTGGTTTTTTGCAAGTAACTTGTTCATCTGCTCTGAAGTGTTTTTGTGGTACAGATAGATTTCTGTTTGCTGGAAGGTTGATCTTACATGTTTTCCTGTCACCACCACAACAATTCCTTTTTTGTTTTAACATGTGCATCCACTGTCAGTTGTTTAATGTGTTTGATTGTTTTCATCATGGTCTAGCTGAAGCCTAAGAAATTCTGTCTTAATAGTAACATTGTGCAAAGTGTTGCAAGTTTTTTTTGAACAGTCTGCTTAATTGAACTTTGTTTTGTTGTTGATTTGAGAGATGACTGACATACGAAGCCAATCATACATTTCATAAATCTTAAAAATTAAGATTTACTTACCATTACTGGTTTGGAGGTTTGTTTTTTCCAAACAGTATTTTGAGTGCGTGTAATCTGATGTTTAGTTTGGTTTGTTGATAATAGCAGCATATGGCATCTCGTTGTTGCCCTGTTTAAGGTTCCTAAATTGAGAATCTGCAGGTTGTACTAGAAGAAGTTATCTCCATTGAAAAGGCAAACAAGTAATTCTTGCCCTGCTTTTCTCTCCCACCTCTAAATCAGAATAACAATGTGTTCTGTTCCTCTCTGGTCTGGATTTCACTACCAGCAAGTAATGCAAAGTGAGAATAGCCTTAGTACTGGGCAATCTAAATATGAGCTGTGGAACTACATTAGCACTTCTACTATGGATAAAACAAATTCTGGTTTATCTATGTTTTCTCTTTCTCTTTTTTCTCCTCTGTCCCTCCCGTAGAGGAAGTCTGGAAGGGAAAAGAGAACAGAAGAGTTACAAAGCTCTCTTAGAAGATCCAATGCTGAAGTTCTCAGGACTGTATCAAGATACCTGCTCTGACTTGTATGTAACTTGTCAGGTGTTTGCAGAGGGGAAACCTCTTGCTCTTCCAGTTAGAACTTCCTACAAGGCTTTCAGCACTAGATGGAAGTAAGTGACTTGCCTTTTATTTCCTCTTAATTGCTGGGGCATCAAGTAGTATGGATAGATATATATATGGTTTTTATTTCTGTCAGAAAGATTTGTTTTCTGTTGTCTTCTTCAAATGAGTTATGTTTTTTCAAGTGTCTGTATTGGTTAGTGTTACCCTGACAGCACAATACCAATATTTTGGTGAAATAGGTAAGTGATAAAATTGTTACTTTTGTTGTTACTTTGTTATTTTTAAAATTGTTACCTGGGCATGTTGTACTATCTAAGTGACTACTGAGGCCCGGACTAGCACATTTTCGTACTGTTTGCTGACAGCCTTGTCACTTAGTCATCGAGCCAGACTATTTTTTTTTGCTCTCTTGCCTTTTAGTCATGCTTAAGACAAGTATTTGAATGCTTAAAACCTGCAGGAAAATAGTCCTTCTGCCCTTGGAAATTCATATTCTGAAGAGAATTTGGGTTGCGTAAACTAATACAGAGTTACTTGAATTCTAAAGCTTTATGACTAATAAAAAGTGTTTCTCTGCAGCTGGAATGAGTGGCTGAAGCTGCCTGTGAAGTATCCAGACTTGCCTCGCAATGCACAGGTGGCTCTGACCATCTGGGATGTGTATGGCCCTGGTAAAGCAGTTCCTGTGGGAGGAACAACGGTCTCGCTCTTTGGGAAATATGGGTAAACTGCTTTTTCTTCTGTGGTGCACTTTTGAAGCTTGCTTGTGAGTAGTAAGGTAACAGTGGTTATGAGAGAGACATTTTTAAATCTTTCCTAAACCAGGTTAACAATTACATGTTTCAAAAATCAGATACATAGATTATTTACTCTATTACTTCCTGACTCTAATTTCATTCATGCTACAGTGTGGTATAAATGAACTCTTCTTCTGTGTAACACCAAAATTTAGGCTTTTTTTAAGATCTGCAGGTTTGGATTTAAAGGTAGCAAATGCTGAAATCACTTCATATCTATACTTTTGCAGCAGATGGATTCCAGTACTGATTACTTTAAATAATTGATTTAGTTGGCTTGCAATTGGGCAGCTAATGTCGTATTATTTATAGGGAATAAAACATCACTCAGTAAATCAGAGGTTTTCAAAGTTAATATTCTATGGTCCAATCGAGGGCATATCAAAAGGATCTTGACTGAGTGCACAGGAGACTTAAAAAATCGGATGTTGTTTGAGGAAAATTATGAGGTGCTGGTATTTTTTCTGGTTAGGCGTGAATGGTACATTTTCGGTAGGTCAGCATTGTAGTGTTCCTGTAAAATGTGACATGAACAATTTACAAGTATATGCAACAGGGGATGCTGTTGTATCCTTCTTTTCCAATCCACTCCGCTGGGATATGTTATTTTCTATACAACTGACTTTAAGCAAGTTTCTGACTACTGGGAGTCTGTTTCATTGAGTGTTTAGCCAACAGGTGTGCGGGAGGAGGTGTAAAGACTAATGAGGCTGAATAAAAGACTGGGAACACTTTCCTAGTAAGTACATAATGCTGGAACATGGGAAAAAATAGCCTGTTTTAACCAGGGAATACCAAATAACAAGGTTAAACTGAAGTGCAGGAGAAGTTTGGATTAGCCTTAGGACAGCTGTTCTCATGATGCTTGAATGCAGAAAGTGATTGTAGAGGGAGAGGTTGTATGTCTTTCATTGAGGATACTGCTTTGACAAAAATGATTGCCATAGTCTTAGGGCAGAAAATTGTACTGGGTAAACTGGACTGTGCCCCAACGACTGCTGGTAGAGCACAGCACGTGGAAAATGGTAGAAGTAAAGTCAATTAATAATTCTTATTTACAGCATGTTGGACCTTGGTAGTTGTATTCCACGAAGTGATGTGTAAATTTAAGGTCAGACGGTCCTTCTCATTGTTATTTCTCATTTTTAAGGGTTGCCTTTTTAAGGTGTTCATTTCAGTTGTATTTACCTGAAGTTGTTAGAGTTAAGTGATCAACTATGGCAAAGGTACTGCGCTTCATTTCTTGGAGCGTCTTTTATCGGTGGATCCGCACACATATGCAAGGGCCGCAGGGTTTTGCAGAGAGAAGACGTGGTCGCTTACCCTGCGAACTAGTGTTCTTCCTTTTTCCCCTTCCAGTGTCTGTACACTGTACGAGACACTTTCCCAATTCTCATCAATTTCACTTTCTTTTTTACATCCCCCTCATACTTCCCGGTCCCCCTCTGGTTCCCTTTCTGTTGCTGAGAAATATATCTGGGTGTGTGGAGGGTTGTGGCCTTTTTTTTTTTTCTTCGTGTGTTTTTTTTATTTGGCAGCTCAGAAGGCTGCTTTATGTCCGTTGACCTTCAAATGAAACTTAGGTAGCTTTTTAGTTGATGTTTTTGGGGGGGTTGGCAGACCTAAAGTTACTGTTGTAATTTGCACATCAAGAGAAATACTTTCTGCTTCATTACAAATAATAAAGCTACGAAGGTTGAGCTCTGTCCTCAGTTTGTGTTTGTACCACCCCCACTGACTTTGGGAATTACCCATTTATCTTCCACTTGCCAAATAAATTATCTCAGGCTTAATATTTCTTCTAAACTCTATGTGCCAGTAAAATGAAGGCTGTAGGGGGCACAAGATGCAAGTCACTTTTGCAGTAG